CAGGATTCTCCATATTCAAAGGATTTATACGCCACAAAATGTGTTTTAAGGCATCGACAAACAACGTAGGATAAATTAGATCCAGTCAGTCGATACATTGTGCTTTTAAAGCGCTCACCTTGTTGCATTTTACAGTCTCTTAAATCTGAGATTCTGTTCTATAGAATCTGTGTTCATTCAAGACAAATTCAGTTGCGTTCTGAGCAGTTTAAATTATTATTACCTTTATTTTATTTATTTGCTTAATTTTTGTTTGTTTACTTTGAATCCATTACACATGTAATTCATCAATCAAAATTGCATCCTATTTTTTTTATTTATTGCTTGATTGATTTATTGATTTAATTGTCTTGTGGCACCCCCAGCCACGGTAACCCTGAGCAGAGAGCCATACCACCCAAAGTGAAAAACGTCGGTATCCGAGGCCTGTGCATTGTTTGGGTTTGCTCGACTGACAGAGTTTGTGAAACTGCGCTTCAAGATATCAATACAGATTCAGATTTAGCACTTTCAAAGGCAATCAATTCCCAATTATGTTTCCTGTCCTGTAATTAAAAACTAATTAATTAACAGTTTTGTGGTATTAAGACTGTGGGAAACATTGCCCCGTTTGACAGCAAAAACAAATTGTGCTTCATTTCCTATTTAATCACATTTCATATGTTGTCTTGAGTGCTGTTGACCTCTGCTCGCTTTTGCCCTCAACACACTGAGATAGTACTCCAGTTATTGAAATTAAATAGTTATTTAAGAGGAAAAAAATTTAAGTGGATTTTTGAACATGAAATTTAATATGTCTGCCATGTGTCTGGAGAGAAGAGGACAGAAGTGCCAGACAACTGGAAGACTCCGGCCAATGGAGCCATCAGAGGACCTAATGCGAATGAGGAGAAACCATGAAGTAAATAAACACTAGAGCAGATCTTTGGAGGGGTCCACAGGAGTCCTGTGAAAGAGGAGGCTGCTGCACATAAAAAGGGTCACTCTTGTGTTTTCACCTCATCCACTCCTTCTGTCAATGTTTCTCTTCAACCACGGTTCCCTCCAAGGCCCTGGATGCTCCGGCCACACCCCCTCCTTCCACCGAAACAGACAAATGTCATCTCCTTTGTGAACCTAGCTGGGGTTAGAAGTGGCCTGCTGTCTTTGTGCACAGGGCTAATCCTTTTATGAGCCACTGTCAAAACCCGCCCCCACCCGAGCGCTTGCCCAGGCCAGGAGAGTCGCTGCCCCCTTTGGGAGCACCAGGCCTGTGTGTTACCTGACAGGGAGAGCACATGTTCCAAACAGTACCTACGTTGGTGCAGAGGCCTGTGGGTCGGTGCACTCCACGGCAACTTGTTAGGGAAGAGAGGAGCTCAGTTTTACCCCTTCCAAACATTCTGTGCCTCCTGCATGTTTTATACAGCATGCATTATTGAGAAACCGAGTGAAAGTGCACGAGTAACATGCTAAAGAACTGCCAGGGAGCACAGACAGCAGGGTTGTTGTCCTTCCTTAGGTTGAAGAAAGGACAAAAGGACTCAGAAGGAGTGACATTCTCCAGGGTGAAGCGAGAGAGAGGGAGGGCACTGATTTCATGCCTTTTGTTGACGAAGGTTAGGGAGAGGAATTCTTTCACTGCATCCGAAAGGCAACAAGTGGAGAAGGGGGCCACAGGCCAGAGGGAGAGAGGGTTTTGGGAGGGTGGGCTTTTGCCGTTCACTCAGCTGAAAGATTGTGCTTTTTTTCAGCCCCTTTCAGATCTCTCATACAGACCCAAGTTACAGGGCAATTATGGAAATGCAGCTTTGAAGCCAAGTAGAGCCTTATTTGAGTCCCTCTTCAGGACAAAGCAAAGGCAGCCCCTCCTCTATAAAACATGTTTCAGTCTCATATGTGTATGTTCTGAGCATCTATACATGGCAAACAAAAATTGCTTTGTAAGGTATTTTTTTGGGTAAAGGGTCTCCTTTTCACTTAGTTAATTTGCAAATAGAAGTTTTGATGTGGAGATAAGCAATAAGCACATAAGTATATAAAGTCTGGACTTGGTGAAGGCCTCCAACAGCTGCATGATTTTACCCGCTCCACACCCTCTCCTCTCACACGCCACTGACAAAGGCCCAGCAAAAACCATGAGCGCCGTGCTTTCTCAGCTTTGTACATTAGTCAGCGGTGTAGCACAGAATTTCACCACCTCGTGTGAACTAATAAGACACATTTTCTCCAGCTTTTGAGAGGATAGCAGGAGAGTGATGTCCCGACATCGCCCGACACAGCAGAGGCCTTGTACAACACTGTTTTTACACTCCGAGCACATCTGACAAATGCCAGTAGTCCTAGCTTTCACTCATCGCTGTTAATGAGAGGACATATTTTGAACGTTTCCAATATTTGTACAGACTTCATACATGATGAAGGCCTTTTTCTTCCCAGTCGCAGGCAGAGAGGACAAGGGTGGGGTGAGAGACGGGGAGCATTCATGGCTCCTCTGGATTGCCTGACTCCTGAAGGGGACTTAATAAATTCTTCCTCCTTGGAACACTGTCAAACAAGTCCTTTCTTACATCTCCCATGAATACATTACCAACAGGCTTGATTGATTAGAACCCCCCGCAAGAGGGTGAGGCGATGGACCGACTCCCCTGGTGTGATTAATAGACTTTATTAAAAGAGTCCTCTCCTTTTTAATAATGGTAATGTGAATGAAGGCATGATGGAGGGGGTGGAGGGGAGGGAAACAGGAAGTCTAACGATGATGGCCGGAGCTGTCCCTCTCTCTCATTCACATCCTCTTCAGTGAGTTCATTTTCACTTCTTCCAATAGGCGTTATCCATCACTTCTCTATGAGAGTCAAATAATACAGGCTGTTTTATTAACTCTTTTTCTCTTTTGTGCCAATATGAAACTCTTTAAAACATCTCTCAGGGGTAATATGAGGGCCTTATCGAATATGTTTCCTGTGAGCAGTTTACGGCTAAATGAAAATGGCTCAGGAACCACAAAACACCTTTAACAAATGTTAAATTAATTAATTAATTAATCATTTTATTTTTGGAAATAAAATGATGCTGATATTTCTCTGGATCCAGTGGCTTAGATGAGATTGGCTGATGTACATAATAGAGAGAAACTAAACATTGTAATTTTGGTTAATCAGTACTTTAAATAATCATTTAACATTTTCATTTTACTTTTATTTCACTTTCAGTGCGTCTGATAGGAAAAATAAGTGCATATTTTCAGTGTTTAACTTATCTTTAACTTATTGCATAACATGAGACACTAAGCTCTGAAAACATAAACCTCGAATGAAGATGAAATACTGTGTGCATATATATAAATACATATATATTTATAATTACTTCATTCTGATATCAACCCAAACTATATGAGAAGCAGCACCTCACTACATACCCAGTTGTTTGCAATATAAATTTACCTTGTGTTATCTTTTTGATAAAAATTCAAACATTCCTTTATTTAACACAAATTAAATGTCAGAGAAAGCGCAAGCAAAAATCGCTTTATGAATCTCCCACATTCTCTTACTGCTTATATTTTTTTCTATTCATTACTTATGAAAGACAGTCACACCTGAAATAATAATAGTAATTGAAATAATAATAATAAAAATAAGAATGTTTTTTGTAAATAAATAAAACATGTACTGTATGTGCTTTACAACAAATTCTTGTTATTCTTTCACGTGGCCGGTATGTGTGTTCTGGCAGCTTGCAGGCTTATCATTGTACCAGAGAACTTATGTGCTGTTTGGTAAGGAGTAAACCTTGTTCAGGAAACTGTTTATCCACCTCGGCACTGTGTCCGCTTATCAGCACAACACAGAAGCACCAGAGACTTTCCCAGCGCCGGACTCAGCAGCTCCAACTTATCACCTTGCTGCATTTTGCAACCTCACCACCAGCAGCACCGAGAGGTTTATTCAAACATGGATACCGCACACAGGGCCTTTCAGAATCCCTGCACATTGCTTCGTGACCCAGACGGGTCCTGTTTGCTTTGCTTCTCCAAGTCAGACACACGCGTACAGTTCTATAGCGTATGACATCACGAGACAAGACTTGTAAACCTGGAAGGAAGGGTCGATAACAGCAGGTGAGAGGGCTTCTCAGTGTAATGACGATGCTTACCAGTGTCTAAGTTGTAAACCCTGTTATTGATTGTCTTTAGGTTTACCCAATAGTCCTCAAACTACCACGCTTGAAGGTCCACAGTAATGTGTCTGCTCAGAATCCAATATCCGCTACTATTAATGAATACTGACAAGCAGCTCAACCTTTGTATTTTTTTATTTAATGTAGTTAGTCCCACTGAGAGCAGGGATCCTGTTTCCAAGGAAGGCCTCCCCAAGACTGCATGAGTATATTTGGTTATGGTAATTTATAACAAATTCAGTAAAAATAAACAGATTTTATATTAAAAAAAAAAAAAGAAAAGGTGAAGGAAAAAGACAGAGGCTGGGAAATATATTGAAGAGGGACTAAGAAAGGCACAGTGCTAAAACAGTAACTATATGTTTAGACAAAGTGTTTACCACAGGCTTTACTAGGGGTATAAATAATAGATTTACCACTCTATCATGCAGGATGAGGATGAGTGACTTGCTTCCTCGTACTCCATGGGGAGTTTAAGAGAATATACGCAAAAGCCAGGAAAGGAGGAGGTAGAGAAAGACCTCTATTCTTCTCAACTTTCTTTGTGCCTAGATAAACTTGTTGTAAGAAACATTGTCAGCCACTCCGGCATGACACCTCACACCCAGATAATGGCATTGCCATGCAAATGAGCGATGAGGAAACATATACCAACATCGTGTATGTGTGTGTACACATGCATGTGTGTGGCCTCTCATGCATGCGGCTGTTTTGTTGGCGTTTCCCAGAGAAAGAAAGCCAATGCGACACAGTAACTCGGCAGTGGCAGGAAAGATCGTTGCCATTTCTGTATTAAGGATCTAAACGTACTCAGGAGAAAAACTTCTGGGCTGAAGTTAATTCCCAATCACTTCTTTCCCCGTATCTTACTCAACTTTAGACAAGCTGCTTAGAGACAATGAAAGATTTTAAGCAAACCAACCAAACTCAATGGCAGTAATGCAGCACGATGAAGATAAAAAATGAAGTGGAATACTAGAGATTTTTCTGACATTTTATTAACTTTGCAAAACCTCTGACACAATACACTATATTAGAGGAATATCAGATTCTTTATTAAAAAGATACCTTAATAATGGACATCAAAATGTCCAAATGAGTTAATTCTGATTTACTCAAAGCTTCTTGTGCTGAACCTCATGGTTCTGTCCTGAATGCTAAGCTTTTTATCCTGAACATTAACGGCACATTGTCTCACACAGTCGACAAGTTGCATCATTTGGTAATGAAATTATATTAAATTGGTGAAGTTTAGAACAATCAAAAGGGAAGTGAAAGTTTTTAATTACTATGTTTTTAAATAAATTAACAGAAAATGACAGTATGAAATGTGGGTAACACTTTATTTGAAGGGGGGTGAATAAGACTGACATGATACTGTTATTAACATGACATAACCTGTCATGAACATGAATAAGCCTTCATGAATATTTATGACAACAGTCATAAAGTGTCATTCGGTAAATTATGACACTTTTAATACAAAGTTGACATTATTCAAAATGTCTTTGTTATGACAACTTGACATTAACCAAGAAATCATTACTGATATAAATTTGTTATAAAAGTATTACTGATTGCACTTTAAAAATTAGGTAACTTTATGTTATTAAAGGTAAAGTTTAAACAGTAATGATTTCTTGGTTAATGTCAAGTTGTCATAACAAATACATTTTGAATAATGTCAACTTTGTATTAAAAGTGTTATAATTTACCGAATGACGCTTTATGACAACAGTCATAAATATTCATGAAGGCTTACTCATGTTCATGACAGGTGTTATGTCATGTTTATGACAGTGTCATGTCAGTCTTATTCAACCCCCATCAAATAAAGTGTTACCGAAATTTGTAATATTTAGTAACAAACAAAAAAAATAACATGACTCAATTTTTTTTTAAACAGTGATAACAGTTTGAGTAAAGAAGGTAAAAAGTAAGTAACTCAAGTCAATATAAAGTAAAGCTGTCTATCCATCTCCTGTCATGGACAGGATGGGAATCAGGAAGTGGGCTTTTGTGAGACACAGCACAGAAAAGTGTCTGAACAAGTCAAGCATCAAGTATGAATGCTCCCCTCCATCTCCAGCTGTGTCGGCTCCCAAGGTTTTTGTCCTTTAGTAGCGACTGGTCACAATGAAGTGGCACTGTGGCAGGCAGAGAAGGGTGGGCGCTGTATCACTGTCTCCCTTTACAGAGGGACAAGTGCCACCCACCCCTTCTGTTGTCATGCTAAGACAGCAGCACTCACTAGAACTGTACCCTTATTCACACATCAGCCTCAAGCCCACGCCTGGCCACAGACAAATGTGGGAGCTGAACATAGCTTCCTCCCACCAATGTCAACACGTCCTCCACATGACAAAACCCCTCGTCATTTTTAAAGAAATTAACTTTGCTCCCTTATATTGTGGATGCATTCAGCTACTCGATGACTCTAAGGGCAAGGAAAATGGACCTTGAATTCCCACGGGCCTCATCACCGAGAAGCACAGCCTTCATGTGTAAAGGACCATGAGAACAGGCATATCTAATGTCATTTTACAGGTAGATAGAGCGGGAGATTGGGAAGTAATTGGAAGTAATAACAGAAAGCTCCCATTCGTCCCACAGGACTCCGTTTTCTCTGCACCCTGAAATTCCCAGAAGAGTTCTTGGCATATATGCTGTGACGCAAAAGAAATACAGTGGATGAACTGTGACCTTTGCTCTCATTCCCTGAAGGTCACCACTCTACTTTACATACACAGATGAGGCCCTCTATTCCGGAAATGATAAGACAAACAACAGAGTAGAGGTAAGGTCAGCAAGTTAAACCAACAGCTAGAATGACAGTTAATTGGCCGGAGGGTAGTGTAACTGTCATCCATTTCCCCTGGGTTGACTTGGGAAGACTCCCCCCGGCTGCCTGAGCCAGCTCTCCTGAGACCGCCGCTTCGCATAAGAACCTTCACTTCTCAGCTGTCTCCCACAGGTTCAACCAGTGGACATTGGCGCAAGGGAAAACAAAATGATTATATTGCCTCCAATTTGATTATTACTTCATCATTATTGTTTATCTTGTGGTAATACACAATAAAGACTGTGACAAGTGAGGAGATGAAATGTCAGAGTGAATTACAGGCGTATGCAGAAAACTGGCTGCAAATCAGCTGGCAGCGCTAAAAGGTCTTACTTGCTAATTGCTCATATCCTACCAGCAGTGAGAGGCGTCCAGCCGCTGTTCAATAGGCTGGCTGACTGAGAGCAGACAGATAAGACTATATGTAGGGATGATTCGACCCGTGCTCTAATGAATTGCTTAGTCCTGTGTGTCAGAAGCAGTGACACATGGCATGAAGGCTCTTGGCCCCCTTGTTGGTGTGCGCAAAGACAAGGGGAGTGAAGGGAAAATAACTTCTCACACAGCATTCAAAATAAGCAATCGAGTGTGTGTGCGGATACGAGTGGGTGTGTGCTGGAGTGGCCCACATGCATCTATGAGGATGAGTGATGGTTTTAGCAGAGTCTGTCTGCCTAATTTCGCAGGGCCTGGGTTTGGGGTGTGAATGAAGGAGAGAGTGTGTGGAAGATAATGGGCCATTCTCCACGGTGCTCTGAGCTCTGTTGGCACACAGCTGGCCATCCAGCTAAACTGTTTTTCAATTTTCAGCACCATCCAGTCCCCTAGCAGAATTCCTGATATGCACGGAAAGGGAATACTGCGGAAGGAGGTCAACGCAGAACGACAGAAAGAAAAACATTTGTGTTAATGGGGAGGATGAAGGAGGAAGTTATAATAGGGCCCACTACACCCAAAATCCATCTGGGACCTGGTAGGAGGGGGATCAGTCAATGACAGACAGGTGTTTCTCAGTAGGCTCTTTAATCTAATTCCAGGGCCTCTGCTTTGAAATCCTCTGGGATCATCTTTGTGTCTGCAATTTTCCTCCAATACAACTTTTCATTTGTCCCCATTTCGAGTAAACCACCTTAATGTACTAAAAAAGTATCAACAGAGGAGCGCACACTGAATATAAGTAATCTGATCCATATTCCATTACTGAATTATCAGAGCCTTCAAGGTGTTTCTGAGTGGGTAGAAGAATGAAAAAGTGAAATAATTTCAATCTGAATTTAAAAAAAAACAAAAACAATAATGAAAATGCTCTAAAAAATATACTGCTCAAAAAAATAAAGGGAACATTTCACTTTAATTTTGTGTGTGGCTCCAAATCCAGGCCTCCATTGGTTAATAAATTTGATTTCCATTGATGATTTTTGTGTGATTTTGTTGTCAGCACATTCAACTTTGTACAGAACAAAGTATTCAATGAGAATATTTCATTCATTCAGATGTAGGATGTGTTATTTGAGTGTTCCCTTTATTTTTTTGAGCAGTGTACTAGTAAATATTTTTGATTCCAAGTGTTGCAAATTACAGCAGTTGTATATTTGGAAGGATCTCAAAACACCTGAATAAACTGTATCTGGATCTGTCAGAGGCAGGAGGAGGGTCTTAGAATTACTAATCATGCTCGTGTACGGCTGCTCACACTCTGCTATGCTACAGCTAGTTCTCCAGAGCCTATAATGAATGCTCATATCAGATTCACCATGATTAACAGTGCTAAAACATTCCTCCTGGCTCTAATGTGTTGTTTCTCACGTTTTTCTGCAGATAGCAATACCAGCATTGAGACTATTTGTGTCACAACATGGTGACAACTTTAATAAATTTGTTTTTTTGTTCCTTTTTTGTAGTATTTACAAAAGTTACACACTGAAGCTTTGACCCTTCTAGCTATTTTCAGGATATCGGCTGAAAACAATTCACTCTCAGATTCTGTGCAGCTCTGGATTCCCATGTTTTCACTAATGCAGTTTCAACAGATGCTTATGTGTCATTGGAAGGAATCTTTAAAGCACAAAATTACAAAAATATAGTAGAAAATAGAAGAGTATTTTACGGTATCGTCATATTTCTGATTTCGACATTTGGAATTAGAATTACTCCTGTAAGTCCACAAAAACATACTGTGTAATATTTGAACAAATACATAACCAGCAACAAAGTGCATTTATGCATCAACTACATGCAGTTCTATTCAGGGAATCCTGAAACCTAATAAGCTGCTGTCAGTTGGTTTTCTTGTCAGATGTGTTGGCGTACTGGTATGCATGTTACAAACATGCAAGAATGAGGAAATTAGGGAAATTATGTGGAACAGCAATTGTTGCACCCAATTGAGGTTAATTTTCCACTTTTAATGAGCTCCACGTCTGAATACTGTGTGTCTTTAGGATCAAGGATGTGAAAATTACAACCTTTCAGTATGTCAAGATGGAGTACATTACTGTACTTTCGCATTACCACCATTATCTCATTGCATCAATGGAGCGCCTGGAAATTAAATTAAACTAAGGCATTATTATTGCTTCTTTTCAAGTGTTTTATGAGTGGACCATTTATGTTTTCAGTGCTTTTTTTTTTAGTTTTTTTTTTTTTTTTTTTTTTACTTTGCTTGTTCTCAGATAATTCAGAACCAGCTGTAATAACCACACAGTGCCACTTAAAAGCATTTAATTGTCTGTACAACAACCTGCAATTTAATGTTGAGCAACACCAACTCTTGAAAAAGATGTCAGTATGAATATTCACCTAATTATATCTCCAGGTTACGTAAAGCAACTTTTTTTTTTTTTTTTAAATACAGAAATCCTGTGTAAGAATCCAAACCCAGTATTTGTCATAACATTAAATCATCCATTCACAGGTGACTCTCCCAGATCTTATCAGATAATTGGGTACATCTTGAAGTGACATACCATCTTGTATCTGTTATTGTCAATTGTTTGATTTATGAGACATGTGCATCTTTCTTTCCCTGTGTTGTTACTTCACTACACTCACAGAGTAATCACTATAATTGGTTTATGAGTCACAGAACATTTAGACCTACCAACACCTGGTGTTGGGTGGAGCTTTCTTGCATGGGAAAGTTCTTTGGTATGAAAGAAACAATGTTTCCACAGAATAAGCAGCCGTACCTTATTACAAAGTATCAACCATGATGACTAACAAGACCTAAGTGCGCTTACAATGACTGGAATTTGCATTTTACTATGACAATCAATCTTATTACCAAAAGACAGGCTGAAACTGTTACTGGAAATTACTAAGTTGAACACTTAAAAATAAAGCCTTTGAGGTGACTGTGCACATAACATAATCTAAACAGTGAAAGCTTCTCAGAAAACAGAAACACAAGCAGAACCATCTGACATTCTCTCAAAAATGGTTGAATACTGTCGGTCTTTAATATATGTTTTGTCCTTTTTAGCAAAGACAAAGTCACTTTGTCTCAGCTTGCAAGCTGGGTTGGTGGTGAGGAGGTAAGAGGTGAGGCGAGAGGAGCGAGTGTTAAATAAAAATGTAAAGTGAGAGTCAAAGGCTTCTCATGAACCCTGACAACATCCAAACAACTGCTGGTTTTTAAAAACATTAGTACAATCTGCAGCAATAAGCAACTTACAATGGTTTGTGTTGAATAAATCTTTCATACACGTAGTACTGTAATCCAGTACAACCTACCTATTGTATCAGGTAATCCAAGATTACCAATATCAATAGAACCACTAATTCCAGATTTTGATGGTGAATTTGAGTTATCCATCTGTTTGCATGGATACATGTCTCACTGTGACATCAGTTTTATGCAAAACATATGGGGAACTTTGAATGACTTCCCCACATTTGCATGTAAATGGTCCACCTCACTGCTTTTGTGATTGGGCAAAGTGGATAAACCACATGATCATGAGGTTGCGGGTTGGAAAAGATGAAGATAAGAAGTGCGCTCTGTTGAGGACAGGAAAGCACATCCAGATGACTGAGACACAACACAACATTGTTACTCAACGTAAGCCCGAGAGACACAAACAGCACGGCTTATGCAGGGCTGTAATCTAAAATAAAATGACTCTGCAGAGCTACAAATTAAATAAACCTAAAATCTGGATTCCATTATCATGTCTCCCAATGCCTACATTTTTGTAACATTTAAATGGCAAAATAAATATGAACGCTGCTGTATCAAACAAGGTTCCAACCACTATTTGTTTTTGTGGGCATGCACTGAGAAATGAAAAGCTAACATGGTAAACACAGCCGTTTTTGCCGCTAATTTGTGAGTGGCACCGAATGTTTCTTGGTGCAGTGATTGCTGACAGATTTGTGGATGTGTGTTTTAATGAGTCTCTGATGGCAGTACAGAGGTTGTTCCTGTCAAACAGGCACCAGAACTGGAAAACTAACAAGGAGCGACCATGTGGACACACTGCAGAAACTCATAATAAGCTAAAAGGTAATGCTTACACCCAAACTGTTGTTATTGAGGCATTTCCCAAGAGTAAAAATTAGAGCTGTAACTGTGTTTCTTCACAAGAGGCGAGTCAGAGCTGTCTCCTTTTCCCAAATTGAGCCAACAAACTCTTACAGTAATCGTGGATTACAACAGACGTTGCTTATCTGAATAAAATCTAAAAGACTTTGTTGCATAGCTTAGACTTTGTATTATCTATCTGACCCGTCTCACACATCACCGCAAAACACCCCCCTCCTCTTACATGGCTTTCCTCTTTCCTTCGGCATAAAATCCACATCACTGAGACTGCAGCCACCATGGAGGGCCCCCTTATTCCACTTCTGCTGCAACGTTTGGCTGAGATTTATTAGCCTCCTTAAGCGAAATGTAATTTTCACCATGTTGGTTTTTTAAAGTGAGGGTGGTAGGAAAAGGATTTTTTTTTAATTTTTATTTTAGGGGGCTTTGGGAGTAATGTCTACTCAGCTGCGTTGGTAGGACAACTCATTCCAACACCAATACCCCAAAACCCGCAGGGACAGCTAAGTGATTTATTGGCCCCCTTTTATTGACAGCACAAGAGTGAAAATGAAGGAGAAGCATAAGTAAGAATAGGAGAGTAATTGAGCTTGTCTACTATGTTGCGTAGTGAAAAAGTAGTAATACAGGTGGAGCTATTTAAATAGGTTTGGACTTTATAGAGAATTATACCAAAAGAACTTTTGTTGTCTGGCAGGATTTCCTATACTT